GCTCTGTCCTATGTCAAGGATACACCATGTCACAGAAAGAGGTAACAAGAGTAATGAGCAGGACTCAAGGCAAAACATGCCAGAGGTATCCAAGACACCCGTTTGTTAGGCAGATCGATGAAGCCAGCTGAGGATCTCTTCTAGCCTCCACATTTCTGTGTCACTTTGCATACTCCCTGGACCTGAGCATCACCTGAGCAGCTGATTTTTCATCTGAAGTTGCCAGTTTGAGAGTTACCAGAACCCAGCTTTTGCATTTGAGAAGCTCCAGCCCAAGTCCATGGAAGAGACAGGTCAGCTCTCCCCTTGGCTCCAGAAGGAAGCCTCACTTTCCAGCTAGAGGAAAGGTCACAACTCAGACACCTGTGAAGGACAAATTAAAAATAACCTCCTCCTCCAGCACTGCCCAAAGGTTTGCCCGATCCCAGCCATGCCAGATGAATGACATCCTCCTCCACCTGAAAGCAGGTACACAGGGCTGGAAAGGCTGGAGTGCAGGTGTGGATACTTGCTGACAGCCAGCAGTATTTGCTGCTTTTGGGCAAAGTTCTTCCTGCTTTGCACTGCTCTCTTTTGCCCTTTCCCCCATGCACATATTTCTCCTCTGACATCACTGGGAGGATAAGGGATCCGCACACAGCGATGGCAAAGGAGAGCCTTTCCCGGGATATTTATCAAGTGATGTATATCAAACACAGCACCTGGGAGAGGTTATATTTTTATTCCTTTGCTGTTCATTAAGCAAATACAGGGCACAAGATAACAGTAATGAGGTGGTGGATTTTCACATGTGCCTTGCAGGAACGTGAGTGCTACACGGATTGCTACATCACTGGCATCCAATACCCCGGGTATTCCCACAAGGCTAACACTGACAGCACTTACTGGAACAGGAACAGTGTTGCTGCCTCCTTGTCCTTCCACAAGGGAAAAGGAAAATGAGGGACAGAGACCAACTCCCTTCGCTTCCTGCAGCCTCCATCAGAGATGCCCTGCAAGGGCCAGCTGTGAGTTTATCCACTGAAAGCCCGCTGTAGTTTCCAGTGACAGGATGACTGCTAAGAACGAAGGATGCACATGGGAGATACACTAACTACTCTGCAAGATTTATACCCATTTTAGAGGGGAACTGTCAAGTTTCTGAGAGGTCAATCGCCACTTGAGTTGGCTTTGCCTGTCACCAGGGTCGCCAGTCTTGTACTAGTTCACCTGAAGAAGAGCCCATGATGCTACTTCACATTTGGCATCTCCATGGTCTCTGCTGCAGTGGTAGCACCTACACTCTTCAATGGGTTGCACTTCCAAAGCAATTCCAAGTGCAGAGGTGTCCAGGTGACACACACCTGAAGGATCTCAGCCCATTTTAACTGCAGAGTGTATCCCCATCACCGAATTTTGGACATCCAGAGCACGTCTGACTGTCTAAGGCCTTCTTTGTGTAGACTAAGCAGGAAAAATGGACGTTAGCCAGTGTGTCCCACTGGCTTTGTGAGCATCCCTACAACCACTGTCTAACTGCAGAACTGCAGACTCACAGCCATGGATACCCAGGCCTGGCCACAGCAGCTCTAAGGCAGCCCTGGAAACACCAGTCTGTCATGGGAAGACTATTGCTCCAAAATTGTTACAGGCCCACACGATCATCTTCAACTGTGCCAGGACTTGCCCTTAAGCAGAGATAATGCAGATAATTATGCATTATGTGCACCCAGTCATCCCAGTACTGCTTCCACCCCTGTGGAGACCTACACACCAGTCATCTTACTCACATGCTGCCCCTGTGCCTCAGCCACTCCGCTTTCACCACCTGCATGGGGGCTGAGATCCCCACACCAAAGAAGCAGAAATCCATTATTGCTTC